AGAGTGCTCAGGACCTCAGACTGGGCCTGAGGGAAGAGATTGACTCCAAAACGGCGGCTGGCACCACCCCTGGTGTCACTGTTGGTGGTGATAGCACTGGTATTTCTTGGTGCTTTGAAATCTTTATTCCCACTGTCAAAATCATAACTTCGCCTTAATAATTCTGTTTCTAATGGACAGTCTTGAGACACAGCGTGTGTGCCATTGACAACACCCACACGAATGATGTGTGTTTCATGATTGTGTAGAGCTCAATGTTGGAGACACTGGACAGCACAGACAGTACTGACGCTCGGCGGATGGACATGATTTACACCATTGAAGACACTCCGCCCTGGTACCTGTGTGTGTTCCTGGGATTACAGGTAGTCTTTGATTAAACAGTTTTCTAGTCTGCTACCGTGTGTGTTACACTTTTAGAAGTGAATTCTTTTGAGATTTGTTTTTATTTTCTTTTGTCATGTGACAGTTTAGCCTCTTTGTGTGCTGCTGAAAAATTAATAATCTGCGCTAGCAAGATTAGTGCCGTCAATTGATTGAAATTTTATTGAGTTTGTTCTCAAGCTCGGTGTCACTTGTCAAAATATTTTTTATTTAGTTATTTTATTATCCATCCATCCATTTTCATCCGCTTATCCGTTACCGGGTCGTGGGGGCAGCAGTCGCCACCCAAATCACATTGCACCGTACCAACAAACCTTCCTGCGGGTGGTGAGTCCACTGGAATATTTTATTATTATTATTGTTATTATTATTGTTATTATTATTATCCAGCAATGTCACCCCCACCCCAGCAGATGGCAGTCTAGGTGACCACCTATATGGCCTAGGCCAAAAGGGACTGACCCCCTGAACCGAGAGATAAATGTTACATTACCTAATATACTAGACCAGCCCTGGGCAAACTGCGGCCCGTGGGCCAGATGCGGCCCACTGGGCTTTTTAATCCTGCCCACCGGACACTGGTACACAGTATGGTAAAGACTGATGTCAATCGTTTAATTTCATGCATTTCAACAAATCGACTGTGATGTGTGTTGATGCCACTATAGGGCTGCAGACATCAAATGTGCCAAATTATATTTAAAGGTTTAAGTTTTGTTGTTGTACGTTTTTTTTTTATTGTTTTGCTCAGCATTCTATAACCAACCAATACTGAACAGGCTAATCAGAAGTTTAACTTCATTTTGGCCCTTGAGTAGAATAGGTGTTTGCAGATGTAAAAAAAAAAAACATTTTAAAATACATCTGTATGTTTTTCTGGGTTCTACAGCACTACCTGACCTGCTTCAGTGGGACGATCGCCGTGCCCTTCCTGCTCGCTGATGCCATGTGCGTTGGGTTCGATCAGTGGGCCACCAGTCAGCTCATAGGGACCATCTTCTTCTGTGTGGGCATCACCACCCTGCTACAGACTACCCTGGGCTGCAGGTACACAGAAAACAACACTCTTCTAAAATGAGCACATTCAGAGTAAGGGCTTCTGCACAAACAATAATTAGCTGCCTCATCAACGTTTGTCCTCTCCTTGAATCGCAACCTTAACGTGGTGGAGTATCCGAATGAACCTAGGAGCTATGTTGTCGGGGGCTTAACGCCCCTGGTAGGGTCTCCCAAGGCAAACAGGTCCTAGGCGACGGATCAGACAAATAGCGGTTCAACCCCCCCCTTTGTGATGAAGAAAATAATTAAATCAAAGAGGTTCACGTCGCCCGGATTGGCGTCACCGGGGCCCCACTCTGGAGCCAGGCCCGGGGTTGGGGCTCGCAGGCGAGCGCCTGGTGGCCGGGTCCTTGCTCACGGGACTCGGCCGGGCTCAGCCCGAACAAGCGACGTGAGTCCGCTTTCCAGTGGGCCCACCACCCGCAGGAAGGCCCACAAGGGGCCGGTGCCTTGTGATTTGGGTGCCGGTTGTGGGCGGAGACCACGACGGCCCAATCCCTGGACAACCACTCTAGCTATGGGGACATGGAATGTCACCTCGCTGGGGGGAAAGGAGCCTGAGCTCGTGCAGGAGGTTGAGAGATACCGACTAGATATAGTCGGGCTCACCTCCACACACAGCTTGGACTCTGGGACCCAACTCCTTGAGAGAGGCTGGACCCTTTTCTACTCTGGAGTTGCCCGCGGTGAGAGACGGCGTGCTGGCGTAGGCTTACTTATAGCCCCCCAGCTTGCCAGTCGTGTGTTGGAGTTCTCCCCACTGAGGGAGAGGGTCGCTTCCCTGCGCCTTCGGGTCAGGGACAGGTGCCTCACTGTAGTTTCGGCCTACGGGCCGAACAGCAGTGCAGAATACCCGGCCTTCTTGCTGACACTGAGAGGAGTACTGGACAGTGCTCCTCCCGGGGATTCCATCGTCCTGTTGGGGGACTTCAACGCCCACGTGGGCAACGACAGTGACACCTGGAGGGGCGTGATTGGGAAGAACGGCCTCCCCGATCTAAATCCGAGTGGTGTTTTGTTATTGGACTTCTGTGCTAGTCACAGTTTGTCCATAACAAACACCATGTTCAAGCATAAAGGTGTCCACCAGTGCACTTGGCACCAGGACACCCTAGGCCGGAGGTCAATGATCGACTTTGTAGTCGTGTCATCTGACATCCGGCCGTATGTATTGGACACTCGGGTGAAGAGAGGGGCTGAGCTCTCAACTGATCACCACCTGGTGGTGAGTTGGCTCCGCTTACGAGGGGCAAAGCTGGATAGACCTGGCAGACCCAAACGTATCGTGAGGGTCTGTTGGGAACGTCTGGCAGAATCCCCGGTGAGGGGGGCCTTCAACTCCCACCTCCGGGAGAGTTTTGAACAGGTCCCGAGGGAGGCTGGAGACATTGAGTCTGAGTGGACTATGTTCTCCACTTCCATTGTTGATGCGGCTGTCCGAAGCTGCGGACGTAAGGTCTCCGGTGCCTGTCGTGGCGGCAATCCCCGAACCCGGTGGTGGACACCGGAAGTAAGGGAAGTAGTCAACCTCAAGAAGGAGTCCTATCGAGCCTGGTTGGTTCGTAGGACTCCTGAAGCAGCCGAAAAGTACAGGCAGGCCAAGCGGACTGCAGCTCGGGCAGTCGCGGAAGCAAAAACTCGAGTCGGGGAAAAGTTCGGGGAGGCCATGGAGGAGGACTATCGGTCGGCCTCGAAGAAATTCTGGCAAACCATCCGGCGCCTCAGGAAAGGGAAGCAGTTTCCCACCAC